AAGTTTGTGCTACATACTTGATGGTACACAGCATCTGCTGCTGGAAGGTCTGGACAAAAAAGCATCCGATCTTTTACTTCATCGCTACATGGCGAATTAAGTTGTCGCATATTTTTAAACATGTGGAACTATAGTCTAGGGTCATTATAGGGTTCAGTTTGAAATCAGTCTTTCTACCTTGATATGGGTCACCCTGTCCACAAAATAGGCAATTTGTCTTATAATTGAATTTGACTTCTTGAGATCTTAGATTTTTGGAATTTCTTTCTGTTGGTGCACTTAGTTTCCGTTTCAAAGCAGATATGGCATTAGTATTTGTATACTCTTTTCTACAATGGACATGAACAACTTGCCCAACTGCTATAGTAAAGCTATCATTTCTAGCATTAATTGCCTTTTGTAAACCTGACATGCCCTTTTCACCCAGTTTTACAGTTGGCACAGTACTGTCAGAGAGTGTTTCATTACAAAGTATGCACTCATCATTATCCACATCCATCATCTCAGCCATGATTATGATTTCTACTTAACTAGTACTTAACTAACTACTTAACTAATCTTGTATATCTTATCTACTCTAACTAAATTATGTTAACTATCTTAACTACACTAAACTATCTCAACTACATGTAATTCATATTTTATCACATAACAGCAATTAGCTAATTGCTATGGATGGTTCCCTATGACTGAATAGCTATATGTGAATGAAGCAAGACTGTATGTACATTATTATATATCTACCATTTACATGAGAATATACAAGTATATAATTGTCTCGATATAGGAGGTATAGTGCAATGTCACAATAGTAACACTAAGACAAAGAAAAAAAATCTTCAGCTATATATACAATAGACTGTGTATCAACACAATTACACAACCTTACCACAAAATGTGGACTTTGGGATACCGCACCACAAATGTAAACTTGGGGATACACACAACAAAATGTGGACTTGGGAATACCGCACCACAAAATGTGGACTTGGGAATACCGTACCACAAAATGTGGACTTGGGAATACCGCACCACAAAATGTGGACTTGGGGATACCACACCACAAAATGTGGACTTGGGGATACCGCACCACTAAATGTGGACTTGGGGATTCAGCTTGGTTCTGGACAATTAAATCAAAATCATACCTGTGTCCAAATACAGCTAACCAACTTTTCAGCTCACCTACCAGCACAGCTTTTCAGCACTGCTTATCAGCTCATCACAGCTCAATCCGCAAGGCAAATGACATCTGACATTGAAGCATTACATGTATAACTCAACCTACATAATGTAATTTATCTTTTCATAATCAATTTATTCCTAGGTATGCAGATTAAATTTGCAATCACATCAAGGATATTTTTGGTTAAATTGCAATATTTAAATAATGCTTGTAATTTGGTTATAATGGAATATCACATAGATAATGTTTATTATTTTAATTATTTAATAATACTAGATGAAAATAAGGCATACAAAATAATCTAAGCCATGAATGCACATTATTCGACCAATTCAACATCCCACATGCCATGCTCATCCAGTATTATAAGTGTTTATAGAACACACGTACTATACTATTTGCGTTTATTATGCTCTGTTACTATGGCAACCAATCATGTTCAGACTCATTACATTAAAGAATTACATCAGCATCCATGACCTCTATAAATATAACTGTGACTGATCCTGTAAAATGACATTTCTAGGAAATAATCACCAAAAAGTGCCACGCCCACTTTTGAGTGGATAGAGTGATGGTCACCTAATAAAATATAGTCCAGAGTCAAAGATATCATATAATTCATCAAATTAATCATGTTATCTTATTAAACACTCCCCATATATGTTTTAAGGGTAACTTTATGTTCATTTCTAAATGATTGGAAGAGAAATGGCAACATCAGTTAGTATAGGAAGCTTCAAATTTACTGAAATATTAAAGATTTTGAGCATTTAAGTTGTGTTGCTATGGTAACCAATTGACCAATTTATATCAAACTTGCTGTGACAACTGAACTATATTTAGGTGCATGATCCCTGAAAATTTTATTGTGATTGCAGTTACATAACAGAAATTATTAATGTTTATCATAGTACCCCTTCATAAAATTACCCCAGGGGGTATAAATGGTGATTTAAAGGTTTTCCACCTCTTAGATTTTTCTAGATTTTTGATATGTCATTTTACTTACCAATGGATATTGATTACACTAGGTTTACATTTTGTTGCAATTTTTTCATTTATTTGTGAATATTTACAACGGTTTTACTGGGCTCTTGACAAACTAACACTGCAACCATTCATATTTTACATGTAATTAGCAAAATTTCAAATAGCTAACTAAATTTGGGACCTTGGCAGAATAAATTCTGTTTTTTGAAGTAAAGTCAGCTCAAAAGCTTTGATAAAAATATTTTGCATGCAGAAATGATAAAAAAATGATAGACGCACAACTATCAGAAGAAAAAACAACATGTACAAAGCAATTGATACCACAGACTTTTCTTCAGGTCCGTATTAATACATAGAATTATTTTGAGGATACCCAAAATAAGGAAACATCCAAGAGCCTGTTAAGATTAAACACCATCTTCTCACACTCGGTTTTCCCTGTGTTTGACCGATGGGAGCCGAGTGAATGATGATGATTATACATGGACTTTCAAGAGAGATTTAGTAGTTAGTCTAATCTAGGACCCTTTCTTCATTCTGGGTCTAATAAATTCCAAATTCTTCAGAACAATGCATATTTTATCCTCTCATTAGTGTTTACATAGTATCCATTTTTTCTAAAACCTTTATAAAGTTCAAATTTCCTGGCATCTTTTCACTATAAGTAGTATTTCCCACAAACTTAAGACTGGATATTTCTATGTACCTTAAGAAAAATGATTGTATTTTATCATAAATTGTGCAGGACTGTAAACCTGATATTGCCAAGCAAATAATTCATTAATTGAGACAGGGCTGTCAACTTGGGACCACCTAATATGAGTGACTTCAAAATGTTGGACACCTAAGTCCAAATCTGAACACTTTTGTCCAAATTTTGAACACCTTTGGCCAACTTTTAAACACCTTTGGCCAAAGTTTGAGCACCTTTGCCAAACTTTGAACACCTCAAATTTTTTGCGCCCGCTACGCTCGCGTTATTGTCAACGGGGGGGGGGGGGGGGGGGGGTAGGTACGAAAAATTTCCAATGAACATGCGTGACACATACGGGATTCGCGTGACAAATCCGAACAAATTGCGTTCGGTTTTTTCCGACGTTCGTATTTTTACCGTATCGTCAACATATTTTGAAAAATTTTCTACAGAAATATTTTTGCGTGACAATTACCAGGTAAAATGCGTATTTGCGTGACATTTTCTGTCACGCAAAAAAAACTGGCGTGACTTCAAATTCTTCAGCAAATGTGTGACAAATACGCAAATTGCGGGACAGTTGACAGGCCTGTTGAGATTATTGACAATCTTAATTAATCTGAATTTCACTGGAATCACTTAGTCACCTGTTCATGAAACATCAACCATATTAAATATATTCTCAAAATGTTGATATTAAAGTACATATTTTTGTATTCCCCTTCATTGCTTACATGTTTCTGTGCTAAGTATTTCATGTTGATTCCACTTGAATTTTTCGTGTCAGTCTTTTCTTTATGATAATAGGCATTCGTGAAATCTTATTTTTTGGCATGTAATGAGTACTACTTCAAAGGGGTAAATTCTTGAGGTAGACTTTCACTATGGACTGGTCATGTTTGGTCCTCGTCATTTATCCCCACAGTCTAAATTTTTTACAATATTGAGTAAAAGTGTAGACTTTCTTGCTTATTTAACTCTTCTATTCTATTTAACGTATTTTACTGTTTAAATATAATTATGAGTGTCAGTTGAAAATTCCCCATGCAAACCACATGCAAATATTCTTATATATACAAGATATTTATAAAGTGAAAAGAAGGAGAATACATTTACTATTATAGTCTATATGGTTAGATATCATCAAAGGTTTATCCCAAAGACCCATTAAAATGCCCAAATATAGCCTGGTATGTTAATTTTAACAGAAAAGAATACGAGAGTAACCTCTTTTGGAAGGGTATCAGACCTCCTCATGTCATAAGCTTACTTAGTTAATTTTCTGAGTAACGACTTAGTAGTTTAGTGTTTCCCATGCTATTTATCCTAGCACGGAAAATTATTTGATTTTTGATATCTCTTTGTATAACAGCAATTTACTGATTGCATAAGACTGTTCAGTCAATGAGAGAAATTCTGTTTTATTGAACGATGATAAGAGAACATCAATAACCCCGTGAAGTACACGGAAACTGGATTCATAACTTTGAGAGATTTAATAGCTACTTACAATAGGTGTATATATAAGCTATGGAAACGAATGGATTCACCTTAATTTAATTATGCGTCACCCGTGGATAGAATTGTCTATTGTCATGCAAAATACATTGGATTTTATAAGGGCGAATCTGACAAAATCAACAAACTTGGATAAATCTTCACTGGAAGTACTATATAAAGGAATTTAAGAAAAACAGGAATTTTTAAGGTTTAAGATGAGATATACCTGATTAAGATTTGCCAGAGAAACAGTATGCATGTATACTAGAGACAAACAAATTTGATTCAATAGTCAATTAGCTGAAATGTGCAGGATATAACACTTTTTAAAAGGAAGTTAACTCTGAAACATTTTACATAGTAAATTCAAGACTTTTACTAAAAATATATATTTGATATGATCTAAAGAAAAAAACATTTTCTACAAGAGAAATAAAATAGTTGATTTTGATTTTTGATTGGTTTGAGCTTTCAAGTGCATATACTTTAGCTCTCCAGATATGAAATTAGTTCAAGAATCATTGACATTGTTTATCAGTTACCAATCATGTGAAGTACATATAATATAAAAGAAAAATGATCATACCTTTGAATTTTATTTAAATCAAGAAGCAGCTTGGTGATGAAAATAGATAATAGTACAGAAGGATGGAAATGCAAAATATTGAAGGGACAGTTGTACCTTATAAAGGATTTAATGTTCGACACAGAAGAGTAAGGTCTAACCCAGAAAAAAGCAGCTTTTTGCCACCGATAACAAGTAGTTATCATAACAATTACCATAGCAACAAGTATAGTAACAGTAACTATATCAATAGTGGACAGAACAGCATTATTGAAGACCATAGACTCCATAGCAACCATGGACAACACAATAGTAACAGCTTAAACCATCAGAACAATCAAGGAAATATTCTAGATCCAATGATAAGCCAACCAGAACAAAAATATTTTCAGTTCCAGTTTTGTACTGAATGTAAAGTCACCTACATTCATAAAAGGAAGCAACCTGAAAATGTTTTTCCATCAAGTCATTCCTCAGTTGATCTGCTAGATGTCTTGCTACAGTGTCGTTGCTCACAATTACGGTGTACCGGAGCACGTCATGCATGCAAAACCCCAGTGCCCCCTATGGTGGAATATGAAGATAATAAAATGAGCATCACTGGACCATCAAAGGAATTTGTATATAGGAAATTTCCACGCATGTCTAAACTCGTGGTATATGACATATTTGAACACTATTTCTAAACTTCAACATACAATTAGAAAGCTTATTATATGTGTGAATCGGGTCAGAGGTTTAGGTTAGATTTATATAAAAATGCATGATAAAACATGAAGATTTACATTTCTTATATCCTTCTACCTAATGTAATGTAATCTAAGTAATGGGAATTTTCCTTTGGTCACTTTTAGGGATTTGGAAGTCATTTAAAAAGAGTAGATAAAAGTAACACAAGATTCAAGTATTTGTTTATATTTCCGCAATGACATCTTCACTTTATTTGCAGCTTGAGAATCCTGTACCATACCTCAGTTTTATCAACTCAGCAAACTTACATGACCGAGGCATAATCCAGTTTCATGTAAGTACTGATTTTTATTTATCTTTCTCCATATTTGTGTTTTGCATTCGGTGTCTGTAACAAATAGCAGGGGGTGACATTTTTCTTGTAAATGCCTTGTTCTTTATTGTATTTTGTTTTTTTATTTCATTAGATTTGGGCAGTATTGTCAATTGTAAATTAGAATCAAAATGAATAATACTTTTGAATTTTATACTGAATACATATACACACATGTACAATAATTGAATGTACATGTCAATCTGTTTTGTGGATTTTAAAAAGAATTTGCACATTATGAATAGAGGGTTGTTTTTAGGGAACATATGAGCAAATCTCCAACTTATTTCCATATTTGTAGGATGAGCGTGATGGCGATGATGTCATACCATGCTCTAGATTCCTGGAACATATGCAGATGCACACTGCAGCCGAATTGGCTCAAAAACTCAAGGTATTTTTCGAATTAATTTTATATTGAATAGCTGCATCAATATAATAGTACTATGTATCTGATATGGACTAATTAGTGTCTCACACCAAAATCCAAATATGACCCATTTTTACTGACCATTTATGTACTTTTGTCAAATTCGATGACAATAAGGATCACTTAGATTAGCCAAATCTTCAAATGATTTCAACTTCTCTGATATTTAAGCCATACTCGTATGTAATTGTTGAAATATAAAATGTTTTGAGCTTCTTAGTTTCTCTAAGATTAGAAACCAATATGTGTATAAGATGTTTGCTGACAAATGTAATGTCTTAAAATGAACATACCCATTAGGGTTTAACTGTTTAATGTTTTGAGGGTTACTGATGAACATGATTTATATTACTCTGATATTCAGAATCTGTCTTACACCATATCAGTGCAGACTGCGTAGGCAAATTATATGTCATAATATTGGGATAAAAAGGAAGTTTTATATAAATATCATATTTTTTGTAGGAAAAAAGAAGATTAGCTGAACAAAAGCGAAGAGACAATGTAAAACAGTTTGATCTACGCAAAGCTCTCAGAAAGAGGATGAATTTAAATCCAGCCAACACTCCTCCCAGTACAAGACGTATGTTATCTTATAACTCTCTCCAACAATGCAAGTTCAGAATTTTGATGTTAACTGTATTTAAGTCTCAACGGCCAATCTTGAAACTTGGTGATAGCTCTGGTAAAAGGGATAAAAAGCACTTTAATCCAAGTATTTCTGTAATAAATTAAAGATCTGATATGATGTTACATTGGGCTGGTATTATTTCACTAGAAACTTCTCTTGGGCCAACATAGTATACATTTCCAAAAAGTTTTTTGCAAGTTAACCTTATTGACCAAAACAATCTTCAAGGTTGCTCTGCTACAGCCTCAGCTGAATATAGATAAGATTCACATTAGTATTTTTCTCTTTGTGCCTTGAAAGAATATGCTTTAAATATATAAAAATGTATTTTTCCATTTGTTGATTTGAAAGAATATACTGTAAATGAAAAATTTGTCTGCTATTGTGAGTTAAAATAATATAAATGTACAAAGATGCACGAAGATGACTGAAGAGATATGATATTATAGGGGCAAGACGGAAAAAAGTCCAGCCACCAAAATCAGACACAATGACAAGGTCTCCTGTACCCACAAACCTTAGCCCTTGGACCAATGTAACTGATGAATCATCTGGTATTCGTGGAGATGGAGATGGCGACAGGAAATCGGATGATGGAAGTATGCTTAGTGAGAGCCTGAAGGAGATCGAAATCACCCCTAAGGCATCTACACCACCCCCTTGTAAGTATTGAGGTTATCCCTTGTAAGTACTAAAATCCCCCCTAAGGCATCTACACCACCCCCTTGTAAGTATTGAGGTTATCCCTTGTAAGTACTATAATCCCCCTAAGGCATCTACACCACCCCCTTGTAAGTATTGAGGTTATCCCTTGTAAGTACTATAATCCCCCTAAGGCATCTATGCCATTGTAAGTATATCAATACCCTTAAGCACCACCCCTTGTAGATACTTGTAGATCACACATTCCTAGAAATCCTCTTGTATATAAGACACAGCTCTTCTGAGTGGAAAAACTTAATTTTCTCGTAAAAGTGGTTAGAAGGCCTTAACTAAATATTTTGCATGTTTAAATATAAAAAAGCTTTGCTCGTATGACTTTAAAAGATGCCTGCTAGACCTAGTCAAAGAAATTTGGCAATTGTTTTTAGGTTATTTATTTTCTTAGCTTATATAAATTAATGCTTTACATCTCATGGATAGCAAAAGACACATTCAAAAATGAAGTATAGGTGTGTAAGCCTTCATGTAACTTTATTTAATGAAGTGTGGAATACACCATCGCTAAATATTTGAATATGTCTGACCTTTGTGTATTCCAGTTATACCAATGCTATACAGTAAAACCTGCTCAAAATGAACACTAGTTCTGAAACCAGTGAACCAGTGTAAAGAGGTTCATAATCATGAACCATAGGAGTCCACTGAGACTTCTGAAGTGTTCACATTACAAAATGCTTACTTTCATATAAACAGGTGTTCATATAAACAGGTTTTTCTGTATTTTTATAGACGATGCTTATACTTTGTTATATAAGTCATTGTATGTGTGATACATTTCGTATTGGCTGTGGGTTCCTATTATGGAACAAAAAAATCTGAATGGTTCAGTTCTATTTGGCTTCGAAACGTAACAATATCCGAGCGGTTCAGAACAGAGTGAACTCTTCAATGAGAAGGAGCGATAAAATTCTTTCGGTGCAAAAAATTGAAAAGAAAAATGCTGTTTTGTGGCGATTTTAGAGCTAAAAGCTCTGAAAATGTAAGATTTTCTTGTCAAAGAGCTAAACTAACATATTGAATTTTGTTCGGTGTTCTGGCCCGAAAGCCTAATTCCGCAGGATGGAACAAAATCAGGTATTCGTGACACCTCTAGTTCCTATTGATTATTATGCCAATATAACAATGAATAAAACTTTTTGTGATTGAAAATACATAAAGCAAATTATTGTATTGTCTTCAATACTTGTATTTCATGAGTACATCACTGTATATGAAACAAAGATCATTCACAGCCATAACTGCACCTTTATAGTTACACTGGGCCATATTCTTCAGTCCTTCATTAACTGATCAAAATACAGTATCTTACTACATTGATAAATATTACTTCACTAAATACCCAATCTTCAAGGTACCATCTCCAAATAGCTGAAAGGGGGGCGAGTTGTTTGTAGAATGAATCGGGGGATTTTTTTCATGAATTTCGCTTATGTTTTTCATCCAATAAACATCAATACACTTTAAAACATTTTGTTTACTTTAAGAATACAACATGTAATCCAAAAATATATTTCTCGTTTTCAAAGATAATCCATGGATTAACACCCAGGTATTTTTATTTTTCAAACTTCAGAGGGCTGGGAATCATTGATGCTCAACGCTTTTGAATACGATAAATGCTGTTTTAAATAGGTTTTAGTATGTCTCAAATCTTAAAGTAAACAAAATGTTTTAAAGTGTATTGATGTTTTTTGGATGAAAAACATAAGCGAAATTCATGAAAAAAATCCCCCGATTCATTCTACAAACAACTCGCCCCCCTTTCTTTAATATTTGAGCTAGAATAAAATAAATCCAATTTGTGAAGCCATTGCCTTCCAATTATGATGTCTATCATGTTACTTTAAAGCTTCTATTGATATTTCTGATAGTCAATCAAGGGTAGAGGTTGAATTTCATATCACCCATGGTGCATCAAAAGGATATTTGACAAGCTGATCTTAACTGAAATATGCACCAATTCAATGTTATTTTCCACACTAAAAGATACAACTGGTCAGCTTAACATGATTTGGGCCTCTTGGGTGATACTTATGTCAGACATTGTCACCGATGTTAGACTAGGAGAGGTTTTGCACATCTGTATAGATATAAACCCTTTAGGCATTTGATTCTATGGCATTTATTTCCTCTCAAATTCCTTTCTATATTGCATGTTGTATAAAAGCATTACTGCATTTTTGTTTCATTCCTAACTATGCTTAACTATCCATTTTCAGTATTGCCACCTTTAGTTTTAAAAGCAGTTTCAAGTGTAGCACTTTTAACCGACCAATTTCGGGCTGAGTTAATACGTCGTCATAATTTACGAAAAAAGAAGAAAAATCTTGCCAAAAGTAAAGAGAGTCTGAATTCGCGTGGGAGTAAAAAATCTCAGAATTCCAGAAGGAGTAAACATTCAGAAAAGCCAAAGAGTCAGAGCAGTCACAGAATCTCACAAGAAAACATTAACGAAGTAGAGGAGCAAGAGATAAAAAAGGAAGATGAGAAGATCAAAGAGGAAATAAAGGAAGAGGAGGTGGTTAAGAAGGAAGAGGTAATTGCAGAAGATCAGGAAGAATGGGAAGATGCATCTGTGCTCAGTGATGAGTCTGATCCATTCCAGTTTGAACGTGAAGAGACGCTGGTTCTCCCGGATATTAACGTCTACTCTCCTATCTACCCCTACTACATATTTGAACGACCCAGGGCAAAGCTAGGTACATTTGGAACCCCTTTGACCTTGACACCCAAACACATGATATAAAATGGAATGTGTCACAAACACTGAACTAATACAGGTTTTAGTGTTGTAATTTGAAGTGGACACTTGTGTGGCGTTAGAAGCACATTTCTGTGGCATTAGAAGCACATTTCTCTGGCATTAGAAGCACAACTGTGTGGCGTTAAAAGCATATTTGTTATTGTTAGACACATCTTTTTGTGTTGACATTGATAAAGTTTTTGGTTGTTTTTTATAGCGGATTTAGAACATTGCATAGTATTCTTATAGATCTCTTTAGTTCATATTTTTATTTTATTTATTACAAGTTAGTGTAGCGTAGCAATTTCTACTAGGCTTTTCCCTCCCTGACACCCCATCTCAATGATAACAAACCTATTGTTGCTAGAAGAAATTGTGAGGCTATACCTTTCTAGTGAAAATGCATAGAAATTACTCATTCCAGTAGTTATAGTTAGCATTTTTGGAAATTAGCGAGTTATAATTAGCGAGTTATTTTCATGTTTATTTTTAGAATTTGTGATGTGCGTTACATTATTTTGTGTGTTGAATATTTAATTCACTCATGTGATTCTCTGAATGAGGTTTTGTTGTAATCCTTCATTTTCTCATTTCTAAGATATTGTGTGATATGTGTGAAGTGATATAGATGTAAAAATACTATTTCACCTCAATATGATTTACATACATCTATCCATTGTGTTACATATTTTAGTCACTGTTATACGAGAAGTATTTTTTCATGCTCATCAAACAAATACATAATCTCATGATTTCATTGAAACTTTGACAAAATAATTGATATTCGATTTTGTTCTCTCCAGAGTAATTACAAGTAATTGATGTTGTATTGTAGTTTGAAAAAACTTTCTTTGATCTTTTTTATGTGAAATCACAATGTATAAAATCAGTTCTTTCATTTTTTGTTTTATTACTTATTTCAGCTCAGCTGGAAGTTCACGAAGGACCACTTTTAGCCAAAACAGCAAGTAAGAAAGTATTTTATGTAAAAGAACCAATCAATCAATCAATCAATTCTAGATATATTGACTACCTTCTCCCTGTATTGTAGTTATTCTCATCACATTTGTGCATATTAATATGATTAATATTTTTACCTCCTACTTTCTCACATCTTACCCTGGTAACCAAGGAAACATTTTGATTTCCAATTGTGTGAATTGAATTAATAAAATACTACATATAATAGCACTACTCTTTCAAATAACTTCCTTCTATTTAGAATAACTCCATCTCTTAAACACCTCCCTTGTAATATTACTATTTTATTAACACGGCGTATCATTATGTGCATGTAACACTGCTTTTTGACTTGTAAACTTATTCCTTGTGCAAAATAACAGTACCTTTTTGATCACTAAGGTTTGAGTTAGAAGGCCACAGTTGCCATGGTACATCAAACAGGTTGCCATGATGATGAGATGTTATCATGGTACCATAGTAATTGTAATCACTATTGTGACCACAAAGGTTGCCATGGTAATTACAAACATTTTCCTCATGACTGTAAGGATAATTATGTAACCTTGGTGATCATATATGCTGTTATTATGGATACCTTGTCATGGTGAGCTTGGTGATTCCCTTACCCGACGTGATTGTGCAAAATTAATATGTTTGATATCACAGGTTACAAAGTGGATAATAAAGGTGATGGGAAATGTTGTCAGGGTGATGATTGCCCTTGCTGCCAGGGTGTTTGCTCAGGTTGCCAGGGTGATTGTACATATTACCAAGGCGATGGCACATTTCCTTGTCTAACAGACATGACACAGACGACTAATTCTCATTCTATGCAACAACTCAACTGGACTAACCCTCCTTCCCTTGGTAACACCTTAACTACACAACTAGATAATAACACTATTACCATGGTTACTGATCAACCATTCTTGCCTGATTCTGAGTGTTCCTTCAATGAATCACAGGATGACACAACAGGTGATTTATTTACCTTTACTTAGCCTAATGCTTATCCGAACCTTAAGTTCTATTCCCTTGTTAAATTTCTAGTAGTGAGCCATGATCAAATACAAAGTTGCTTAATTAATTTATTGTAAATATTTTGATATATTTATAGATATTAATTATGTTAGATGTTAGTTCTGTTTCATTAGTTTAGAATAAGGGATAGAAAATAAAACTAGAGAAAATTTATAGATGTTATTTCAAATGAAATCCCCTTTTGTCAGATGAAATAATGAATAGAAATGATAATACCAAATTATCGTTGGTATTTAATTGTTGTTGAACTTGATTTTCACAATGATTGGATATATGTAACATTTGCTACTGGGAACTTAAGTATCAATTAAGGAAAGCCAGGAACAGGATTACTTGAGGTTTATATCTGGAAATACTCTTAAATCAGATTGTGAAATTAACTGTGACCATGAAAAAGTGGGATGCGATTGAAGAATTTCTAAAAAGATTGTTCAGTGACATGTTCCCCTGACTGATTAATTTGGAACTTTATTGGTAGACATTACGTTTGTCCTCATACACAAACATTACAAAATTCATTCTACAAGGCTTACCTTAATGTATAACAAGATTCCCGTGGCATATTAGGTGAGAGTGACATCTTTAGGTTTCAATAACTAATATTTATTCTATTATTTATTACTTTATTTGAACTCTTATACAAGGATATAGGATACAAGGATAATATATACATACATTTCTTTTAAATATATCCTTTCTCAGAAAAAGTTAGCATTTCATATTGATTTAGTATGCGATTAATAACACAGATGTTTGCATTCTTTTGTTTCAAATGTTGCTCTTTGTGGTTACTGGAAACCATTGTCAAAAAATATTTTTCATTTTATGTAAAGATGGCATATGGGATTCAGAACTATAATATTTAGCATAATGAATGATAATATTGGAAACATACATAAAGATGTCACACCAAACCTATATAAAATGATTTCTAAAGGTCTGTTCAGAATTTGTCATTATGATCTTCATGATATAATGCTCTTCTATTCTTTTCTATTATCAAATATCAAGATATATTATTTAAAATCTTGAGAAAAAATACTATAGTCTTGTTTCAAGCCCTTGTGACCCCCCCCCCCATATATCCCATACCTCTAGAAGGTTAAAGTGAGTCGATAGGATGGGGTCTAGAGACTTGATGCAAGACTAGAAAAGAGGAATTATCAGATATTTCAACTAGCATGAATTGTACATTAAAACTTATGCAGTTGAAAAACAGAAAAGGAGACACCTCAATTATAATTAAGAGAAATGAATTCCTATTATAGTCTTGACCAGAATGACATTTTCTGACAGATTCTTCCCCAAATTATAATACTAATTATTATTTTTTAAGATTATTGCACCTGAATATGCATATATTGTTGCACTTCCTCTTTATTATATGTACTTATCATACTTTTATTCAGAATAGATGTGTTCATTTTGCCTGACATAGTATAAGTTATACCCTGTAAAATGTCTTGCCTTTCTCTGCAGAGATTAAGACATGTTTTTTCATTGCCTGTTGTTTTCCTGTAAATTGACAGCATAAGCTACAGGGTGTTGAAAAAAAAATGCAACCCAAAGAAATCGCTATATTTTGGAAAATACTAGTCCAATTGTGTTCATTTTTTCAGGAAAGAAAGAAGAGACTGTGTATGTATAGCTCATGTTGTTAGTTAGTTGTAAAACATGATGCCTTGGACAAATGCTCAAAAGACATTAGTATTGGAAAGATACGAAAAACGCAGTCAGAGACTACTGCCGCAGCAATAAAACCAAATAACTTTCTAACCATAGTGTTTTGGCTATTCAAATTTGGCACAAATCATCTTCATTCAATTTATGATAAATCTGTAGAGTGAAATCAAAATCACTCCAGGGACTTTACAGTTTTGGTCGAAATGCTTTCAAAACCCAGTCAAACACCCTGGTTCAGCCAGACTTAAGAAGGCATTCTGACCATGACTGTAAAGTCCCTGGAGTGATTTTAATGAAACTCCCCCAATTCACTACACATTATATGAAGATAATTTGTGGTGAATCTGAAGTGCCAAAACACCATGGTTAGAAAGTTATTAGGGTTTATTGCTCTGGCAGTCACCTCTGGTTGCGTTTTTCGTATCTTTCCAATACTAATGTCTTTTGAGAAGGTGTCCAAAACATCATGTTTTACAACTAACTAACAGCAGGAGCTATACACACATAGTCTCTTCTATCTTTCCTGAAAAAATGAACACAATTGGATAAGTATTTTCCAAGATATGGCGATTTCTTTGGGTTGCGTTTTTTTTGAACACCCTGTACTTATTTTACCTTCTGCCGTTTTCTTTGGGGATGACTTCCTGTCACCTCCCCTTTACGAATACTTCTTACCTTGGGCTGTGTGTGTGTGAGGGGGGAGGGAGGGGGGTTCTACTGTTCTACTTACCCCTCTTTATCTCTTTCTAAGAGAAAAGGCAAGACATCTTTGATAAATGATTTGCATGCCCCTGCTTATTTGTAACACTGCATATTTGCATTGCTTTCCTCCCTGCAGACTCTCCCCTGCACTGGACTGACCGAACTGAGAATGATGAAAATATCAAAATGTCGTCTTTTCTTGCCAATATACCACCTTCAAGACCCTCTACACGGTCATCAGGTAAATTCCATATTCAGTCTCCTGCATTGCCCAAAGATATTTGGCTCCTTATCCTGAATAGAGTATCCGTTTAGGCCATTTTTAGGGCTTTGCAATAGACTGTGTTGAATAAGTTCATGTCTTTACTAGCAACCTTACAGTACCAGTCCCATGTTTGGATTGAATTATGAATGAAAAAGAAACCAAAATTAATCCATTGGACTTGATGTTAATTGAACAGAGCTCATCTCCAGTCTTAATCACCAGTGTAATTCACTAACGACAGTATCATTCACTTGTATTATTGAGCTTGAGACCAATTATCAGGGAAAAAGATTGTATTACCAAATTCCATCACATAATGAAGGAAATACAGTGAAACCTTTGTCACCTCTAAAAAGTGTTCCACTTGGGAGGTGTTCCACTTAAACAGGTTCATTTAACATTAAGTCAGTTGGTCTTGGGACTCTGAAAAGTGTTCCACTTACACAGGTGCTCCACTTTTAGAGGTGTTCCTTTTACAGATATTCTCTCTGAATTTCCTCGATAACTATTTATTTATGAGATCAGATTACCTATATATGGGACTGAGTACATAGAATATACATTTTGTATCTTAGATGGTTATTTTTTGTATACTGAATATTGATTATGGGCTAACAGATAAATTCTCTTTGTTACTAATATAAACAAAGTATTGTATTTTCGCTTCATTATATTTCCTCACCTTAGGCATATTACATATATATGATCTCAAATTCTGATAATTATATAAATGAACCTACATAACATCTTTTCATTCAGTCTTGCTGATATTTCTGTTTCTTAAATATGTCTATACGGAGAATCAATTTTCAAACGTAACGTCTTTACAGTTCATCAATTTATTTTTCTGGATTTCACAAGAAGCATGGAAAATTTACATTAATAGTATGTATACTGTAAAGTGGGTGTTTATATATATTGTTTGTGGTTGATTCAAGAAGTGCTTACAGAGTGAAAAACTGATCACAATATAACTACCGGAGGATGCTATAAAAACACAGTACTTATGATAGCTAAAATGTATAGGATTTTATTTATTATAGAATTATTGAGTTACATGTTTCATTTCCAGCCAAAATAGAGTCTAGAAAATCTACACCTCTTATAGAGAGGTTAGGTTATTACAAAGGTATTTCATATGTGTCATTTTATTTTATGTGTTACATGTTGTTGTGTGTCATGTGATACTGTGTGTCATTAGTGTTGAGTGTCATAAGGTATTTTGTGTCATGTGGTGTTGTGTGTCATGAAAAATTGTGTGTCATGATTGGTGTATATGTGTACATAAATAAAATGTCTTACATGATATATGTAGGGTGTTATAGAATTTTGTAGTGGTGTTCAATTTATGCTCGGTTTTATTTTATTTAGTGTTGGTAGGTTTAATTTAGTGTTTAGTTTATTTTGAGTTTTAATAGCAACTATTGAAGTAAAATATAATTTTAACATCTTTTGGTGATGCATTATTTAATATGCTGTTCCAGTGTTGAAAAATGTACTTTTGCTGTCAATATCAATGCTGTTCAGTTCTGTGAAGTACTTTGTAAAATCTAGCTATTTCACGAGCAGATGCTATTTTTCAACACTGGTTGTGCTATTTTCATTAAATATATCGATTACTTAGCCATTAGCACAGTTTTTCATTCTGTGTTTAACCAGAAAATTAGCATTTAATGCAATAGAAGTATGATAGTGAACAAATATTTCATTCTAGTTAGTTGAATACCTGTTTATTAGATAATGATAATTTCATATGGGTTATGTAATGGGACATTTTTGGATACAGGGTTTAGTACTGTGGTCCCCTTGTATTGGAGATGCACACATTTTGGAAGTGAAACGGATATTCAACCAACAAAAATAAAATGAAATGTTTGTTTATATTATTATTCATTATTGTATTTTCTTCAAGTATTATAGAAGAAACACAATAATGATAATAATTCACAATGTATTGGTAGATTTTGGGATTATTTGATTTGACATATTTTGTAATCTAACATCATCAAGTTAAAGTTTGTTATTAGTGACTAAAGGTTCTAACAGGAAATGAAGTTAATCATTTCATAGATATTACATTGTATTGTCATTATGACCTAAACCCTATAATGACAATTGTTTCTATTTGGTTTTTATTAATGCTAACAGAGGATTCTTTTGAATCTTCATCTGGGGGATCATACAGTGGTAAGTTCAAAATGACATCTTTCTAATAGGCTACAAAATAAGAGTAACTAGAAGAATGGAGATGAGTTGCAAGCTATTTTTTTAGAAAAATTCCAAGATTTCTTTGAAGAAGATTACTAAATTGATGGTGGTAATGGGACTATAGTATCTAAAATCAAATAAATTGTTAATAATTGGTTGGATGGAATTGTTTGATATTTGCAAATGTGGTGTACCAATCCTTCTTTCATTCAAATATGTACATTGTTATTACATCTCTCTCAGTCAGTTTCACTTAATTTACCAATTTATTTGAGAAAAGAGAGCTTGAATTACAAAAAGTACCATTTTTATTATATCAATTGTTGCATTTAATCTATCGATCCAATATTAGAATTTGGAAATTTTTGATTCAATTGTTATTTGATTGTCTAGATGCTAAAAGATTGAAGTCAAGAGTCCTTAACATGTGCGATAGGTCGAATTCTGAAATTCTGACTTGTTACTCAAAGAATATTGAATTCAGTATGAAATCTGTTGAGTAAAATAATTTTGATAAATGTGGAAGCTATCAGACGCAATGTATTTAACTATGATGGAGTAGACTCTAAATGAACTCATTAATTCACAAGTGACATGTCTCTAAACAGTGTTTTGACATAAATTGGGATGAATCACTGAGAGGATTAATGCATCTTCTGAGAATAAACTGTAAGAGAAGATTAAAATGGTTCTGTATTCATGAAATAAGATATAACTTCCACTTAGCTCGCAGTCCATTGGAATTCCCCCATTTGGAATCAGCCCATGTAAAGGAAGTGAGCATCACTATTTACTTTGTCATAGAACTGAAAGTATATGATACAAAATGTTCGCAAACTTGAGGGATGGTTCTAAATCTTCAATAACCGATTACTCAGATGCGAGTAGGTAGTTAACGGTTTCAACACCATGTGGCTAATTCGGGGGGAAATAACATGGCAGGGTATTGCAAAGTCCCCTTAAACTTGAATGTCCATCAGTTTTAGTGGTTCACTTTTCATTTTACTCTTATGTATCTGATAGTTATACAAATTAAAATATGTTCAGTAAAAGAAATGTTATCTGTCAAATACAAGAAAAGATATCTCACTTTTTGTGATTTTACAACATGGCCTACTGGTCTGTGGGAAATCTCCCTGACCTAGAAGTCACATTTTCAAAGAAAATTAAAGTTTCAAAGTTGATATACTCTCTTTAAAAACCACATCTCTAGATCCAATTTTACATTTAGATTTGAAATATGACATCAGTTTGACTGAATTTTTAATGACGTAAATCAAGATTATTTCTACTCTCATTTACTCTATTCCTCAATTGGAAAGATTAGAAAGGAACGTTTGATTATTAGTTTCAGTTCATCCAAAATACTTCACATCTTGTAATTGGAAAAGGTTTTTCATGTATAAATGTCAAGAGTAAGTAGAAAACTTATTTCATTTTGTTTTTCTAGAATATTAAAGCAGAGGGAAATAATGAACGAGAAATTGTTGATTGACATAAAGTGTTCCCGTTCATCTGAAATGTAATCAATAAGAAACCCTAGAGTTGTTTTATTTTGGCAAAGTGAAATATTACCCTTTAAGGATGGATATGACTTGATTAATTCTAGTATATCTACGTATCTGACTTCTTCGCTATTCATTCTATCAATTAATATTTCTAACAGGTATACATCTCTACGGAAATTGGAGAAGGGATTATCCTTCCCATATAACTTCAAAATAGAAAGATATCTTGTCTAAGCCTCACATACCTGCCCTGAACTAGTGAAACATTTATATTGTTAAAGATGAAGTTTAAAATCGTGAATCTTGACTTAGTTTTTCAGTTTTATAATTTGAAGTAATTTTGTATATTATAACTAGAATTAGTTTGTCATTTTTCTATGGGGCCTTTATTTACCTTATATCCAATAAAGTCAACTTGTATTATGTCAATATCACAGATTCTCATTCAAATATAACGAATCACTTCAGATTATCGCTAATCTTTTCAGCTGAAGCAATCACAGTAAAATGGATATAAACTTAGAATATATGACGGAGATAACACTTTTGGGAGGTAAATGATATCAGCGTGTGGGAAGATTAATTCGATCATAATATCAACAACTTTTCATGTATTAAAAAGACATATATTTACCTAGATTCCGGGGGGAAGTGCAGTGAAGTAGAATTATGCAACTAATTAATCAGCTGAAATATCTGGAGTATATTGTAGTCGAGTTGTTGATGATGGATCGAGCATAGAAAATAGCAGATTTGAAAAAATACACTAATAAAGTAGAAAAGTAATAGTGAAGTATAGTCTATATAAGTGACACCTGGAAGTGACACTTCTATTTAAAATGGATAATTGCGAAAAAAATGTGGAACTGTAAAGCAGAATATATTATTTAATGATTAGTGTTGCTTTATAAGAAGGATCTGGAAAGATATATTCTTGATATTTTATTTGATGATTTTAGAAACTCGCCCCATTAAGAGTGCCTCGACCAGTCTACCAACTGTACAGCCATCAGAGTCTGTTAAGTTAAAGCTTGATGTAAGCACAAAGAATAATAAAAAGGTAAGCCTCATATTTTGTATATTTATTAAAAAACAGATATATAACATGATAATGGAAGTTTGAAAAGTGCATGTACCGTACCTGGTATGTTGAATTACTCTGATTTGGAGTTTATTAAAGAGGCAACGAAGGATAGACAAGGATTGGTGTAACCTTTTGTTGCAATATGTTTTGCTCACATTGTCATGCTTATTTTCTAAAAGGTTGTGACTCGACTTCATGAAAATGTCTTGATATTTTAAGGTGATATTCTGAAAAAAACTTTACATCCACTTTATGAATTTTTCACTCAGGATTGGCATCTATAAAATGCTTATACTTATACATGTATTTGCAACCAGGTACATGTATTAACACTTTGTCAATTTAAGGACTTGTCATATTTTTCCTTTGTACCTCCAGATAAAAAGTGACCCCTCATTCGTACCCAGACCCCCCAGGGAGGAGCGTATTCGGTGGCGGGAAACCCCCAAGAAGAAACAAACTCCCCCCGAACAGATTAAGCGGCGCCCATCTCATATCATCAAGAAGAAAAAATCAGCAATTTTAGATGATTATGAATTTGTACGAGCAGAGGATACTCCAGTTCCTGAGCCCATTCAAGGTATTGTGTAACACGGGAAAGGCTGAGATATGATTTATATTCACTGAAGGATAGGAATTATGGACCCTCTTGCTTATATTATATTATCTGCCTGGCAACTAGAAACAGAAAAACTGTCACTGATCAAACAGCATTTATCAGATACTTCATTCTGCTTATTATTTCTGCATGCTAGTTTTGCATGTTTTCTAGATTTGCATCTGTACTATTCAATCCTGCATGATAAACACAAATTTCTAGAATACACATTTACCATGATTTCAGTACAGTAGATGAGTGCATGTTGCAGCTAACACCCACACTAATTCATTTATTGTAGAAGAGGTTGTTCTAGAGACCCCAAAGTTACCATCTCCTCCGAAGACCCCTACCCCTCCTCCCAAAACCCCTGCAGAGTCTCCAGCATTACCAAAGATTGTTATTTCTCTAAAAAATCTATGGGGTCCTAAACAGAAGGATCGGTCATATTGGGATGAGTTACGTCGCATGAGAGAGGCAGAGGAAAGACGTAAACAGTTGTTAATACGTCAACGGTTAAATCGACGTCGTCCAGGTGATGTGATGGACCTATCGGGTGGTCCTGAAATACAAGAAGGTATGTGATGTCATAAAGTCTGATGTCATGAGATTTAATGTAATGACTTCAGATTTTTCATAACAGTCCTCAAAGTTTTTAGGAAATATCTAGTTTTCTCATAGAAACTATATTTTAGATACATGATATACAGTGTTGCAAATTCTTATATGATAAATGACATCAAAATGAAATGAACAATTGGAACTGGAGGTTATATTAGAGTATGTGTCTCTATTGGATGACAGACCTCCAAATCAAAATAATTGTTTTTTTATTCATTCATCATATTTGAATCATATAAAAGACTGATTCTATCATTTAATAGCAAAGGCATGACCTCATAGAATACTGGTCTTTATCCCTGAAGACACATCACAATTTAGAATTCATTAGATGTAGAAATATAGAAATAGTTCAGAAGTATGCACCAAAACCATATTTCGTTAATTGAGTTATATAATGACAAAATAAATTATGAGTCTAGTAGAGTCATAACATATACAAGCACGTCCAGTTCATCATAGACTGCTTTTACATTTAGTGCACTGGTCGTGTGTAGTTCACATATATGTTAAATGTTACTGTATAGACATTTGACAGGAATACTGAGATGTTCAATTGTCCATGCATGGAATATTCAAATTTAGAATTATGCTACTTGATTGGCTTTTTGCAGATGAAATTAAATCAAATTAATGTAAACTCTAAATCTTGGACTTTTGCTACATTCATTGTATTTTGTCACATGTCTTTATTTGTGTGTACTGTTCGTTGAATTGTTGACGTGTGTTTAACAGAGCTTGAAATGCCGGAGGATCCAGGTAACAATAGTAACCAATTAAATAATCAATAAATGAAATATCATTGCATTTTCTGCATGAAACTTGGAACTCCATTTGGATAAAGTTAAGTCTCAAGTCTAATATAAATTGAAATTCCTTTAAGTAAATCTCAATCATTCGAATAATGCTCAAAATCTGTCAATTGACATTCTGAATCAAATGCCATGATATTTTGTTTACTTTATTTAACAATAAAGGTCATTCTTTAATGAGTGACTGTCACACCCTGTGCACAAAGCATGCTGGGATATGATACACAAGGCATGCTGGTATAGATTTCTCTCCCTTTTGGATATTATTTTTTTCAATATTTTTTTGTTTATTGCTACTTCATAATTGTTGTTTCTGATATTATATTGTAGAGGAAGGTATCCAATATCCATTGTACTATATAAGTATTTAATAGATGTTGCTTTTTATTTTTACTTTCATTTAAAGTTATTCAAGTAGATGTTGTTTTTTATTATTACCTTTGTTAAAGGTTTTCTGTTATAAATATTTAGTTGTCTCCTTTGTATATTTGTTACATAAATGAATAACATTTTTTTTGTTATTTAATTTCTTTGAAAACTTGTGATTTTGTTGAAATTATAGGTTTATACTAAACTTTGTATTTATCATCTGAAACATATTTGGAAAATGTTGAATTGTTAAACTGTCTTAATTCTTGTACATGTAGTTTGTGAATGTTATGGTAATGGAATCTTAAAACTTGTGAATTACAATTGTGAATCGTGAATTACATATTCATTAAAAATCTTGATGTATGAGCTATTGCACTTGAAGGGTCTTTGTTGATACAGTCTGATGCACAGCCCTATGAATTATAAACTGATGCTTAATTCAGTTAAATAAATGAGTTATTGATCATTCTGTGGGTTGTGTGTTAGATTGTATTCGACATCCTTGCACATTGCACTCATTCATGGATTGATGTTTTCACCCTTCACTGTCTGGTTTGTGTTTCTATTGTTTTGTATTTTTCACTCACCACATGCACTTTGAAAAATTTAACCTCATGATATTTTGTTATGGATGTCACCTTTGTTATGGGATGTTAACTTTGTCATGGGTTGTTAACTTGTATGGGATGTTAATTTTGTTATGGGATGTGAAATTTGTTATGGGATATTAACTTTGTTAGGGATGTTAACTTTGTAATGGGATATGAACTTTGTTATAGGATGTTAACTTTATAATGGGATGTTAACTTTGTTATGGGATGAGACTTTGTTATGAGATGAGACCATTGTTATGGGATGTTAACTTTGTTATGGGATAAGATTTTATAATGGGATGTTAACTTTGTTATGGGATGAGACCTTTGTTATGAGATGTGACCTTTTATGCATAATTATTATTATTTTAAGAGGAAGCTAATGGCTAATAAACAATAACTTTATAATACATGTAATACAGCTTAATGCAAGCTCTCAAGAACTTACTCAGATTTAACTTTTTTGGACTTTGCTCAGAAGCACTAGAAAAAGATTTCATAATTTGAAAATGCAATGGGTGGAAGGACATAATCATTTGTAAACTACTTTTAATCCTATAATCTTCTTTTTTTGTGTTCATCACTCTTATACACAGGTTTGAAATAATTTTAATTCCTAAGTTAAGCTTCCAATGTTAGCACACAAGTCTCATTTTAGAATAGCACAATATTAAAAACTAGGTTGAGGTGAACAGTTTGCTTAAACCACATTAGCACACATTTTGAGTTAAGTAGATTTTTAATAGATTTGATTTTAGAATTGCTTCCATCATGTACATGTGAAAATATTATGTTAGTCTTGCATACTGCTCAGAAACAGTTTTGAAATCTGGTGAGGCTACTGAATGGGGGTTACTATTACAGGAGCCAGTTTCTGGAGCTGTGTGTAAGACTGTCTCCAATGTTTGGGACTGTGATTGTACCTTTTCATTTTATTTTTTCCAGATGGATGGCTTGCAAAGTATTGCATCTTTAACAGGGATGATCTGGAAATGTTTAAATGTGCATTTGAAGCGGTAAGTAACATTAAAAATCAAAATCACAATTTTCTGAAAATATTTCTGTGGTCTGCTCTTTAAAAGACATTTAAAATAAATTCTAAGCCAATTTGATGACCAAGACATTTAGGCTAATTGGCTAGGAATCAGCAGCAGCAATATTTGTAAATGAAATTAAAAGAAGCTTTGAAAGCTAGCAATAAGTCATTCCTTTTTCTGCGCTGAAAGAAGGTTGTCCTAGGTGAAACTATATTGCGTAATATTTAATGAGTTTCCCCAGGCATGGGTGTGCTTGACAAGGCTGACACAGCGATATTTTGCATTGTAAGTGCACTTGGATGAGCTAATTTTGTTTCGCAGCCCAAGAATGACATCATGCCCAATAGGTGACGTGATTCATTGGAGTAATCTATTTCTTTGTGACATTCCTATCTAAGAATTACATATAATGTTAGTTTTTATGTCACCACCAAAAGTGGTGACATATTGTTATGGTCTCCGTTTTTTTTGTGACGGCGGTTGGTGGTTGGAGGTTGGCGTCCGGCGTCCGGCGTCTGTAACAATTTCTTACAACTTCCTATAACTTTACAAATACTGTTTAGACTGACTTCAATTTTTTTCTAAATCATCTACATGTTCTCAGAAGTTCAAATCTGACTTTAGATTTGACATTTGACCTTCAATGACCTTCTCAAGGTCAAAAAGGTCTTTTTTCAACTTGCTTCACATTGACTAAATTTTTTTCAAAATCATCTACATGTTCTCAGAAATTCAAATCTGACTTTAGATTTGACTTTAGATTTGACATTTGACCTTCAAATCTGACTTTAGATTTGACATTTGACCTTCAATGACCTTTTCAAGGTCAAAAAAGGTCAAAAAGGTCTGTTTTCAACTTGCTTCAAATTGACTAAATTTTTTTTTCAAAATCATCTACGTGTTCTCAGAAATTCAAATCTGACTTAAGATTTGACTTAGGATTTGACATTTGACCTTCAATGACCTTCTCAAGGTCAAAAAAGGTCAAAAAGGTCTGTTTTCAACTTGCTTCAAATTGACTAAATTTTTTTTTCAAAATCATCTACGTGTTCTCAGAAATTCAAATCTGACTTTAGATTTGACTTAAGATTTGACATTTGACCTTCAATGACCTTCTCAAAGTCAAAAAAGGTCAAAAAGGTCTTTTTTCAACTTGCTTCAAATTGACTAAATTTCTTTTTCAAAATCATCTACATGTTCTCAGAAATTCAAATCTGACTTTAGATTTGACATTTGACCTTCAATGACCTTCTCAATGTCAAAAAAGGTCAAAAAGGTATTTTTTCATCTTGCTTCAAATTGACTAAATTTTTTTTTCAAAATCATCTACATGTTCTCAGAAATTCAAATATGACTTTAGATTTGACATTTTACCTTCAATGACCTTCTCAAGGTCAAAAAGGTCTTTTTTCAACTTGCTTCAAATTGACTAATTTTTTTTTTCTAAATCATCTACATGTTCTCAGAAGTTCAAATCTGACTTTAGATTTGACATTTGACCTTCAATGACCTTCTCAAGGTCAAAAAGGTCTTTTTTCAACTTGCTTCACATTGACTAAATTTTTTTCAAAATCATCTACATGTTCTCAGAAATTCAAATCTGACTTTAGATTTGACTTTAGATTTGACATTTGACCTTCAAATCTGACTTTAGATTTGACATTTGACCTTCAATGACCTTTTCAAGGTCAAAAAAGGTCAAAAAGGTCTGTTTTCAACTTGCTTCAAATTGACTAAATTTTTTTTTCAAAATCATCTACGTGTTCTCAGAAATTCAAATCTGACTTAAGATTTGACTTAAGATTTGACATTTGACCTTCAATGACCTTCTCAAGGTCAAAAAAGGTCAAAAAGGTCTGTTTTCAACTTGCTTCAAATTGACTAAATTTTTTTTTCAAAATCATCTACGTGTTCTCAGAAATTCAAATCTGACTTTAGATTTGACTTAAGATTTGACATTTGACCTTCAATGACCTTCTCAAAGTCAAAAAAGGTCAAAAAGGTCTTTTTTCAACTTGCTTCAAATTGACTAAATTTTTTTTTCAAAATCATCTACATGTTCTCAGAAATTCAAATCTGACTTTAGATTTGACATTTGACCTTCAATGACCTTCTCAATGTCAAAAAAGGTCAAAAAGGTATTTTTTCATCTTGCTTCAAATTGACTAAATTTTTTTTTCAAAATCATCTACATGTTCTCAGAAATTCAAATATGACTTTAGATTTGACATTTTACCTTCAATGACCTTCTCAAGGTCAAAAAGGTCTTTTTTCAACTTGCTTCAAATTGACTAATTTTTTTTTTCAAAATCATCTACATGTTCTCAGAAATTCAAATCTGACTCTAGATTTGACATTTCACCTTTAATGACCTTCTCAAGGTCAAAAAAGGTCAAAAAGGTCTGTTTTCAACTTGCTTCAAATTGACCTTTAGGTGGTGACATTTTGTCATGTTAATGCCTTGTTTGTCATGCAACAGTATAATACTCTTCAGTTTAAAGGCCAAAGAAAATCACTTCACTTGAACGCTATGAACTATATTCTAGATGGATGAACACAATATTAAATATGCTGGAACTATATTTTAGGTGGATGAAAATAATACTGGCTACTTAGATGGCTTCGACATATCAATAGCAATCAGGGGTGTGAACCCCAAACTGACAGGGTTTGAGGAAGAATATATCTATCGTATCTTGGAGATGGTCGGCTATAATATAGAAATGGGGTCAGGTGCTGATTTCAAGTTATTTGCTGTAATGGCTGCGATGTCTCAGAGAATAGCGGCGCTTGAGTAAGTTTTGAATTTTTTAAAATCTGTTAAATATAACATAATTTCATGTACATTAATCATCATACTTTATCATTATATGACTTTATTACTCAAATTAATGAGTACAATGTTGAAAGTACTAATTAATATATGAACATGTATTTAAAAAAAGGGAATGTGTTAATCTTAGAGGTCTAATTTTATGAATTCCTGTTGTGTGTGTGACAAGTAGAACAAGTATATCTTGCATTTTCAGTGACTGGATGCGGGGACTGATTGGCAAAATCAACTTTAAATCACTGGAACATAAGATGTACATGTGCAAGGTTAGTAATTATAAATGCCTCATTTGGAAGACATTTTTCCATCAAATGATATTCACAATTACGTATTAAGATGAGTTATTAACTGGACTTCATACTTTATAGACTTCATACTTAATCTGACATTATCTTAAAATTGCTTTATTTGTTATTTGAAAGAATAGAATTTGATTTTATTATATTTATCTGTAAATGCAAATACAATTTAACTTCCAGACCTTATGGGAATGCAACGTAGACCATGATACAAACAGAATCTCCATAGACCAACTTTGTGTCGAACTAAGAGCTGGAGGGGTCAGTCTAAAACACGAGCACGAAGTGAGGGAAAAATTAGGACATTTAAAATCATTAGATTTAATGGACTTTTTAACTTACATGCCACTGTTTTTAATGATACATAAATCAGTGACAGCAAACCCTTTAGACGACAGCAGAATTAAATGAATTTCCATGAACTATCAAGATTTCATGGTTTACTTACATGTTAGTGTGAAATAATGAATAAGCAGTGCTTGAAGTTACCCTGATATCAGGAAAGTATTAGAACATTAACAAAGTCAACATTTGGTTGCAATCTGGATGCTTGAGTTTATAAGGTAGGCAAGCATGGAATGAAATCTTTTTAAATTGAGCATTTTCCAAGTAGGTTTGCATACTTACTGTCATCTCTGTACAAATGGGTGCAAAAGTTGTCCCACCTTAAAATATGAAAGCATAATTTTATGACATAGAGATCGAGTAATCCATGTCAGTGTACAGCTTTATACCTATACATTTCAGCAGGGATTTTAAGCTACTATATTAGTTGCCTTTATTATCAGCTATCTTGGTAAAATGTTGTAAATGACAAGATGACAGCATAATTTTATCAGATTGAGAAGACTATCGAAAGAGAGTTTGTGCCAACCACAATATTATATTCTAAATATACAAAAGGTAAAAATATTTATACATTACATAGCGTTGAATTGACGAGTGCAAAATAAGATAGACATAACAGGCTTTAAAAAAGATTTTGTTTTTATTTATATATGGTGAAGGTTAGGTTAGAATTTGAGATAAATGTAGAAATTCACATCAGACTTGATCTCCTCCTGAAAATCTTTGTAGGAACCCTGAATTCAAAGGGGCCATGATGACTAATTACATGACTAGAAATTTAGAGAGGGAGATTAAACTTGTACTCCATATCCTATGTTTTGTCACCTGACATTCCATACATGGTTGGTAACGCACAAACTAATAGTGCACTCATTTTTTCACCTACCTCGATGCATGCTGGTTCATGTACGTAGGGTGATCAATTTGTAATGTTTTAGAGATATTTATTTATATTCAGACAATCTTAGTCTTTATCACAAATGATGTATTGTTACAATCTTTTCATTATATGACAAGTCAGAAGTGATCCAGCATTCATTTATCTATCAAGATATCGATAGATTACACATTTTAGTTGTCATAACTTAAATTACAAGTATTAAATAAATGAAATATGGTGTGTCATTACTTTTAATTACTTACAAGTATTAAATAAATGAAATATGGTGTGACTGTCAGCACCAAGCATGATGTGTCATTATCGCAGTTGTGAGTATTTTAACTGGTGAATAAAAAATTATTATTTTATTATAATTTCATCATGTTTAGTTCTCTTGTAAATCATCCATTTTCATATATATAATCTATATAATGTTGGACACCATATCAGAGCCCTATGAATCAAAATAAATATGTTTTTATCCATTTATACTTCATTAACTTGAGGAATAAAGACTTTGATTCTATGATTCATAAATCAATGATTTCTTTTATTTTCCCACAATAAGTGGTGACATTGTTATGGTCTCTAAATTTTTGTGTTCGAGGTTTGGTGTTTGGCCTTCAATGTCTGTAACAAATGGCAGGTGGTGACATTTTAATAATTTGTCTGATCATCGTTAAAAGACTAAAATTGCAGATCTCAAGCGATTGAGGTCTTTTGCAATAGAGAGAACAAAATCTGAGGTCATATCTGTATATTTGCCATAAATCATAGAATTAAGGTCTTTGGAAGGATAACGATAAACAATCCAGAAAAACTTTTTAAATTCAGTAGTGATCATACCCCTCCCTATACTTCATAAAGTTTAACTTCTGAATCAATTCATATGTTTATAATGAAGTCTTAGAAAGAGAACAGTGGACCTAGCTGAGCCCAAAACATTATAGATCATTATTTGTGAAATAAAAGAGGTTCTCAAACAAATGAAATATGTTCAGAGGAATAACTATACAATCCATTTAATAGTCTTACTTAAATCTGGCAATGGGTTGGTCCATATGGAGTCATGGGCACTTAGATCTTGTGAAACTCCCAAAATCTTGAACCAGGATAAAAGTTCCCCTGAGCATAAAGAATTGGTACCTTAAATACAAGTCTGCTTGGTTTATGTTTATTGTTCACATTCCCCGTGTTAGTGCAAATCACCATATACATAAAACTTACAACATGCTCATTGCTAAACACTGAAGTTTTTTAAAATCTGTTTTATTTCTTCATTTTATTCTATAATTCATGAGTTAAAATGGTGACATATAGCTCATTTTTTGCAGTACATGTAAAACCACTTTCAGATAAAAGTAATGAAAAGACTTGAAGTGCGCTGAAAATACCCATAGGCCTACCCTCTACAGACCTTCTCATATACTAGACTATTTAAAAACTTCTGTAGTATACATAACTTGAAATTAGAAAAAAACAGCTTCTTCCCGGAGTAGCAAATTCCAAATATTTTGTCAACAAATCATAATTTTGAATTCAGCAATTCTTCTTGACCAGAGTCCTTTACCGATAAGACATCGGCACACAAGACAACAACAAATGGTATTTGAGAAATCAAGAAATAAAATCTTTTTATGAAACAAGATGCCCTATTTGATTTCGGATGGATGGCTTCTCTATATCCCAACATTTGTTCCGTGGGATAATAACAAACGTGGGATTACATTATTCTGAATAGATAGAGAATATTTCTGTATAACATACCTAACGAAATATTCGTATTGGAGTCAATGAAAATGGAATTCTGAAGTTTTTGTTCAACCCCCTAATGAGTTTAATAAATGCTTTGTCTCAATTGAATAATTAAACAATGAAAAATGATTCTTTTACACATTATATTACATTTTCTCCCAGTTAAATTCTTAGTTTGTCTGATTACATAACACAATTCTGAGATCAACCCATGATTACATAAAATACAAAAATTAGTTTGTACACTATTTACATTTAATTTAAAATTTTACAAATGCCAAATTCTCCATCATTTTGCACATAAATATATCTTGCCACCTGAACTATACATTTCCCATAAATAAATAAAATATGAAACAAAACTTAACATTTACAAGTCAAAGTTGCGACAAGCTGAAAGTATCTTTCAAAATGATGTCATAATTTTCAATATTCTATTCTTGAAAAGACATTTTTCTTAAAGGTCCAACAGTTCTGATTTTTATTTCACTATAAAAATTTGATTTTAAGGTTATTTGGCAATTATTGTGCATGCCCCTTTTTCAATTTTAAGGACTTTCCAGGACTACATCTTCAATCCTAGGAAAACTTCCATATTGATCTGATTTCCTTTTCCCTGTAATAAAATTAGGGTTGTAAGCCCGGAGCAACTGGCATGGATTTTGAGAAGATTGATTCCAACATTTTACACTCTATTCGCTTTAATATAAATGTTAATGGTATATTTAATATTAATTCAATGACCATACATATATTAATATATAGCTTAGTTATCAAGCCTGTAGCCACTTTTTGTCAAGGGGGTTCACATTTGACAACTTTTGGCCAAAATCACTTGAAAAGTGCTTAGAATGGTGAAAAACTGCATGATTTTGAAAGAATGTTTGGCCAAGTGGGGAACCCTTTGGCTACTGGCTTCAGGCTTGGATGTTCTTTCCATATTGCACCTTTTTTGTTGAGTAAAGATGTAAGTTCACTTATTTACTCAAATATCGGCAGCCTATTATGATTTAACCGCTCTGCATCGATTTAAATTTAACATATCATCTAATTTTTTGGAAATATACACAAATCTTTTTGTCACCACTCATTGTATATTCGTACATTGTAATGATCTTTATGAAAAAATCAAACTGAATTGAATTGAATAATTCAGCATTTTGTAAGTATGATTAAGTTTCAAAACTGAGCAACTGTAATGATATCTAATTTCATGAATGAGTAATACTTTAAGTATTTCAGAATTTTGTTACAGCTGTGGCTCTTGAACAGCATGACACCAGCATGACAATACTATGACATCATAACAGCATGACAATACAATGACATCATTACAGCATGACACCAGCATGACAATACAATGACATCATTACAGCATGACACCATCTCTATGACAATATAGGGAGCACTTGCTTTATCACAGAATGACACCAGCCTTAAACCAGCATCACACCAGCTTAATAACAGCATGACATCAGCTCTACATTGTTATGACAGCATATAACAGCATGACATCATATCTTATAACATAGTATCTTCTATAACAGCATGTCATCATCACTATCGTCATGGTATGTTTTAATGTTCACATTTCCTTTATTTTTGACTCCACGCACTTTTCTAAAAGGTTCAGACTTTTTAGCCACCTCTGGTGAGTCCTTCAATTCTTCATAACGTTTAGAGTTCCTTTGCTCTGTGATGTCATCAATGATTTCATCAGCACCAGTGTCTTGTAGCTCATCTTCATGAAGGGTACCATAACTTGTACTGGCAGCTAATAAGGAATTTTCATCATCTTCCAGTGATGTTAACTGAAAACATGTGCTTGTTGTTAATATGTTTTAAATAAAATATGGCAAATCAACATCCTCTACACTAAGCTTAATTAATATAGATTGAAAATAAGTGTTCAAATATACTAAAAAATCAAATCTCTGGCATCTTATCTCTTATTGTTTGAATAACATGATTCAAGCCTTCCTTACATTTCACACATATATGTTGAAGGAAAATATTGACTAAGATAATACTCATCTAGTATGCAGCTAACTTACATTGGAATACCTATAGGATGGTACAGCACTGCGTCTGAATATAAACCTGGCACAGGCAACCCTAAAAATAAAAATAACAGTAAAACCTGTATATCTGAACACATTCCTTATACAAATACCTCTCAATGTGAACATCTTTTCTTTGTTCCAACTTTGTTATCTCCAACTGATTTGAATATTAAGAAACCTTGAAATGGCTAATTGCACATGGCTAATTGTAAATTGACATTTAATCTATAATGGAATATATGTCTTTCAAAATATGTCTCTGAAAAGGTGTTCTAGAATGTGAATAAATCCAATGTTAATCTCAGTTTGTTTGAATTACAACTAAGCCACAAAATGACATACCATTCTCATTTTACAAAACAACCTAAAACATCTGTACATTTCAATGTCTCACCTTCGGTCTTTTTTATGGAATATTAAAGCTAGAAGACAAAGGAACACAACACTCCCAAATACTGCAACTATGGCAACGATTGTGCTTGTTTTTGGGGACCCTGAAGCTGGGTTGTTGACAGCGCCACCTTGTGGCAACCCACCTGTACCACCCCCTGATATTGGCTTTGGATTCTTACTGAAAAGTGAATATCATACATAAATATGTTGATCTCAAAAAGATTTGATATTCAATTTATTCCCATGTACAATATCATTGATT